GATCGGTTTTTATCGTCGATAAGTGTGCTAGAAAGTGAACACTTTTGCAGTTTAGTGATACAGATGTTGCAGGTTGAGCCACATATTGGTAAAAGTGGTGTCATGGCTGCGAATGCAGAAAATAGGGAGAATCCGGTCGTCGAAAAGGAGCAGGACCTGTGGAACTGAGATATACAATTGGCAATGCAGCACGGGTGAGCTCAGAAGACAAAATGTATTTCCGGTTAGGAAGGTTAGCGAGGAATTGGATAGTGTGATAAGAGAGATTAGGCAGCTGCCTTGTGAAGTTGAGAGCGAGTTAGCAGAGGCTCGTATAGCGGGGAAGTATAGGAATCAAATGAGGAAAGTTTTGGAGGATCAAGTTAACCGGGCAAGTGAGAGAGGCTGGAGCGGCTCAAAAGCAAGTGCGACAGGGCATAAGCTTTTTGGGCATGAAATTTTTTCAAACTTTGTATGACAAGGGAATAGAAAGTGCGCAAGATTGGAGAGAGTATGTGAATACTACAGAGCATGATGGAGAGCTCATCGCAGAGATATGCGAAATGTTTCAGACAGACGTGAAGCACATACGAGGTGTGCTGAAAGCGGTGCAGTCGTCGCGCACATGGACGACGCGTCAAGCTGAAACGGAGACATGAGCGTAGAGAAAAAAATCGGATGATTGACGAGATTAAGGTCAGTTGGCGGTACACATCAATGTTAGAGATTGGAAAGGCCGGGGACACCACAGCAGGTCAGGATGCTTTGAATTTTATGGCGTGGGTGCAGACTAACGCATGTGTAGGACCAGGTGTGTTCAGAGGGAATAAAAGCGAGAACTTTGACGAATTTATTCGGCGATTTAAAAGAGAAAGTACGGAGGTGTGGGATTGATGGATGAATCAAACATTGTTAGAGATTTTGAGTGATGATCATCTGGAAGGTAGGGCTAATAGTGGAATAAAAAGTGTAGTGTTGGCGCTGCCCATGAGTGTAAGAGAGCAGGGTCTTGAAGTAGTAGGTGGAAGAAATGAGAAGGATGTTGACAAATGACTTCAACAGCAGGGCGGCTTAGGGCACTTACGGAGTTAAGGTGTCTGAAGCGTAGGGCAGGTCAGAGTGTGGCGGATTTCTGTGGTGTCCTTGAACACCTGGGAAGGCAGGCCAATCCCTCGTGTAGCATCAAAGACAGATCCCTGGAATATGCTCAAATACTATTGGACAACCTAACGGAATGGCCAGAGCATATCCAACTATTAAGTACGTTGCATGGTGTGGATCCGTCAGAAGCGTACGATTCTGTGAAGCAGCTCGCTCTGACAATTGAGCAGTCAAGAGCTATGTGGGCCCCTGGCGTAAGTACCCGCAAGGAGGGTTGGAGAAGAAGGTCCGCAGCGTATCAGCAGGTTGAAAGGAAAGCGAGAACCAGGAATCAAGTGAAACGCATAGGGAGAGTTGATACGGAGAAAGCTGGAAATGTCAGGATTTGGAAAACGCGTATCGCGTGTCTTCCCAACCCGCTATGCTGCTTTCAGGAGCCTTTGTAGAAGGCGTTGAAACTGTGCTGATGCAATCCAGAGGCCAAATAGCCAGTCGTAAATTGAAAATCACGAGTTGATCGTCAACATGGCCAAGCCATACAGTCAGCTTTGAATATAGGTGGAAGCACGCGTTGCTTGCTGCAAAGTAAGGATAAAATGGCAAACACGTTGGTGAGTGATGACGTTTGAAGCATAGGAATGTTCTCGATGAACTGAATATAGCTGCGTGAGTTATTGTATGGCCAATGAATATCCACTTTACGGAACCAGTAACATGCGAAATTTGCATGCCACCGATATTTGGACTCTGTGGAAAAACTCACCGGCCATGCGGACGCGTTCACGTGTTGGTGACGTCACAGCAGCGTCCGGGGAGCGAGCAAGAGCCAAGGGTGCCACCAATTCTTCAATGCATTAAAGGCAAGATTCGGGATAAAATAGGTGTGGAAAAGCGTTCAATTATGAAGCTACCGATTACGCCCCGTACAGAGACCTCCCCTATTTCAGCCACATTCCACCTTGGGATAGAGAAGGGCGCGTTGGACGAGTTTCACGAACCTAACTCTAGTTGCTCCAGTGCCAATGACATTGGGTCGCATGGGACCGCTGCCTCAAATGCGCCCGCGCTTTTCAAGCAGCGCCACGTGGCAACCGACAGCGGAGGGTGGGGCTTGCGGACGAAGGTGTGAGTTGCGGGTCGGACGAGCTCCTTGCGCCTTTGTCGCGTACTTTCAAGCCGCAAAAGGGGCCCGACATCAACACTTGTCCACCTGCCTACTACCCCCTGGATGGAACAGGCGAGCCCGCCTGATCGTGCCTTTAAGCACTCCGAGCATCTATCGGGTCCTAATTTCACTGTGTAATGAGTAGAAGAAAGTAGGAATCGAAGAACGGAGTTAGTTTGATCAACTTTGACTTGACTGTGTACTCCTTGTTGTTCGCACATTGAAGTCTAGACTTCCTCTGTATTTCCAATTCAATTAGTAGTACGAAGGCGGTACCTGCACACAACACAATCATCCCACTCGTGCCCACTGAGCCTTGCCCTACTTTCAATCCTGCCGCAGGCGCGACGTCATTTTGACGTCACCAGCACGCGCTGGCATTCGCGCCGCATGTAAGCTTTGCTCCCCCCGCTTTCTCCCCCCCCCGGTATTTAGAAGAAGGACGACGAGTAACTCTGGCATAGCCATCCTGGGTAATAGAGTTTGCTAAGACCTCACGAAAATGTGGCAGATTCTGAATGACGGTTTGTGGAGTAGCCCAGACAGTTTACGACGACGAGCCACAAGTAGATAGTAGGATTTTTGTTGAAAAAGCAAAAAGGTGTAGAATCGAGTGATGGAACTAGAAACAAAAAGTTTTCATTGTCAACAAATAGGCGTAAAATTGTAACAGATATGGCAAGATTTTGAAAAAAAAATTCTATCGCACAAAATGACGGAATTCTTGCTGGAAGGTGTTGTCCAATCGACTCGGATCCACTTTGGGCATCACAGATCGATATGTTAATTCCTGGTTCTTCCCAACTCCTTTTTGAACCCGCTGAAATATCATGGAATTGGCAACCTAGTACCCTACAACATCTCCACTTTCTGCGCTTCTTGTATGACCTTTGGTTTTTTCTTGACTACTACTGATGATCTGGATTTGGGACCACAGAGAACAGTCATAATTGTCTCATGATTTCCACGTAGCTTTTCACCTAAAAACATTATCTTGAACTTCGTTTACATCGAGAAATAACGAAATAGGAAACGGCGAACTATAATTTTAGTCTATCACACTACATACATATTAGTCACACGTAATGTCTATTAATGATCGCACTTGAACCCACACAAGGATTCGAGCCAACGATTTATTCAATAGATACCAGACTCGTCTAGGGAGACTCCAACACTCTCAGAAATGGATTGTTCTCTCATTAGTTTCCACTCTTCAAACCTAACATGTGCCAGAAACCTTCAGATACCTTTATCATTTCGAATGCAAGTTTGGCTAGTTAGCCACTGAAGACCTAACCAGTGAGGTGTAACACGCATAGGGGAGGGGGGGGGAGGGGTGTGCTAGCGTTTCTCCTCCTGGGGTCAGCTCATCGTCGCACGCGGCGATCGCACTCGCCGCGTGTGCGGCGATTTCGCGATGTGGAGGTTTTGTACTCGTCCATGCTGTTGTCCACCGTTGCAGCCCTTTACATTTGATTGTCAAGTGACGAGGTGGCTAGTCCCAAGCACAGTAAGGCTCTTCCACTTTGATGTCTCCCATGGACATGAGCGCCAGAAATTATAAATAAAAAAAGCACAAAGCATTTACGTTGATCGTATCCTTTTTTGGGATGCGGCACGCATTCAACTTCCATTTGTACATTCGTTAGTGGCGTTTGAATGCGATGTGGCCTATACAATGACTTGCGGGGGCCAGCCGATGTTCAAGTCAGTGTTTTTTATCCTCCCAGACAAGTCTGGTACCAATTAACCGACCCCGGAGGGATGGAAGGCTTGGTTGGCCCGGGCGACTCACGACCCAGGATTTGATCCCGGACCGCTCGCGTGGTGAGCGCGCCACTTGTCACTACACCACTTCCGCCCTCAGGGCGGAGTAACAAGTAGTGGGGAGTTACGAAACGATGTGCTGGAGAACATTCAAACTTGCTGAAGCCATAGTGGACAGTCTAAATGACGAACCATAAGTAGACTCGCCGTACGTCTGCGAGTTAATGGCGTCATGTGTTAACCATTATGTACCATTACTTGCAGGGAATCTACTCTTCCTTCACTAACTTGGGAAGCAGTGGGTGAGTCAAATTGAACACAGAGTCATTCAAACAGTGCCTTAAGTTGCTTCTTCAGCGAGTACGAATCGATAGATGATTTTTTAACGCAACTTTCCACTGCCACACAGCAAAGAAGAGTGGAAGATGGGCGCTAACCCTTCATATCTATTCCCGCCGCTAATAACACCTTGTATTGGCCATTTTGTGAGTGCATGGAACTCAACCTCTATATCCGATTCCAGTGACTTCAAATTGAGCAAACTACCTTCAATCCCTTCAGTGAAACAGTAGTGGTCTAACGGATAATAGCAGTCCATCAATCGACAGTGACGAAATTTGGGAAAATTCCAGCGATGTGCCGAGCGACCCGCCACACCGCCACACCCAACCACCACAGCCTCTGCCGCTCGGTCGATCGCCCGGCATGCTGGCGGCGCGGCGGGCGACCCTACGAGGTGAAACGAACGTCTCCCGGGGAGTGGCAAAAGGAGGTCACTTTGCGTATGGCTCACGTCACCAAACTTTTCCTTGCACAGGGTATCGGTGCTGGCGAGACACGGCAACGGGAGACGGGCGTTTGTCCTCCTGGGGCCGCCGCCGCGCCGTCGCACGCGGCGATCGACGCGGCGAAGGCTGTGGTGGTTGGATGTGGCGGTGTGATTTATTAGCTGTGGAAACAATATGGTTTTAGCCCTCTTCCACTCTTTTGGCTGTTGGAGTGAAAGTTCGTTAATTTTATCGATTCGTTACTGCCGAATGAGCAACTTAGGCGCTGTTTGAGTGACCTGTTTAATTTGGCTGACCCCCTTCTCCCCAATGGCGTGAAAGAGAGTAGATCATGCAGTATGGCGATATGTTTTCACATGACGCCCATTCTACATGACGTTAATACGCAGTTTACTATGGTTCGTTCACTCAGACTGTTTCAGAAAGTTCCAATGTTCTCCGCAGCGTTTCTTAATTTCCAAACTTAATTTCTGGCGCTCATGTCCATGGGAGACATCAAAGTGGAAGAGCCTTACTGTGCTTGGGACTAGCCACCTCGTCACTTGACAATCAAATGTGAAGGCTGCAACGGTGGACAACAGCATGGACTAGTAAAAACCTCCACATCGCAGAATCGCCGCACACGCGACGAGCCCGATCGCCGCGTGCGGCGGCAGCCTGACCCCAGGAGGACAAACGCCACGCACCCCGGCAAAGCACAGTACTCGCCTTAAGAAATCAAAAATTTACGCGAATTCCGCCTTTCCGTGTTTTCGTGAATTCGTTATGAATTAGTTTATCGTTGAGCTTTCCAAATTCCGAAGATATTGCTTGAATCAGCTCGTCGGACTCTATAAGAATGTGCTTTGAAATTTTGAAAAAGCTCCATATAGGATTGCGCCATGCACTCGAGTTTTCATCTCGAGAAAGTAGTTGATTGGATGTGATGCGTACATAATCACACTAGTGAAGCCTGATCGTTCTATAGAAAGATGGGCTTCAAGACTTGCCCCAGAATGCGCCACGTACTCGACTTTGTCCACTACATTGCGAGATTAATTGAATATTCCTCAAAGTTTCCACGATTTCTATTTCACTTCAAATCGCTGAATATTGAAACGTGTAGACTCTGCGTCCAAAACTTGTTTCCACTCCATTCAATTGGTAATCTTGGATCAGATTTCAAAGGAATTACTAGGCCTAATTTGTGGAATTTTCTATTTTTTAAAGAAACGTTTCGTTTAAAGAAATCCGGAAGGAAGCGACGGAATCTCCTGAGCAAATTGTGTATAGGGATAAGACAACGTGCTCTGTCGCAGGCAAGCGTTTCTTCCGTAGGGTGGCCGCAAACCACTTTAGATCATGCCCTAGTAAAAAGATCCGATTTTTGCTTTTCCATGTGAGCCTTCTAGGCTGAGATGTGCACTAGTCGTTTCCCCATGAAACGTGCTACCGAATGATATGCAACACTGTCCGCACTCAAAACTGCGTTATTTTACTGTTTTCGGCCTATTCCTTGCTGCTAACCGACATCTCCAGCCCATGCAGGCCATGTGCGATTGACGTGCGCGATGCGTGAGGCCGTTCCCACGGTCATCGAATGGTTATAACCGGGTACCGATCGGGCTACGACGGAGTCATCGGCCGTTACGTGAGCTCTCTTGCATCATTGCATTGAATCCCTTATGGCCGCCAAGGGCTGAGAGATGCGGCATCGGTAAGGGGGAACGATAGACAGAGACGTCGGAAGAGGATGGTAGCGGTATACGACGAGGTGATAAAGCAACGGTGGGTGGGCTGACCCGCGACCGCGCTTCTTCTTAGCTTACTTGCAACGTGTCGTTTACCTATTTCAGGAATAACTTCCATGAGCCGGAAGGAGCCCCCTACAAAAGTTGGGGAAAGTCAATTCGGCGTCTTTCGCAGTGAGCGGCGTGGCGCACTGCGTACCGTACTTTGGTGTGGTTTTGCTGGACATTAGCTTTGCCGTAAATTGCCATAGATTGCAATTTGAGAAGAAGCGTAGCCTCGTGGTTACGACGGATTCAAACCTTACAGTACAAAGCTTGCACCGTAGGTTACCTTGTCCGGTTCAATGCAACTCCTTGATCATTCGATGGGTTGAAGTTCTGTCACAGGAAACCGTTTCGTCTAATTAGAAGAATAGAATGCAATACAGGAAATAGTGGTAAGGGCACTAACATAGGCAGAATACAGTTTGAATATTGACAAATGACGTAGCTTGTACGTCCCAAGGGAGGGTGTTTCGTAAGAGAGGATTCATATGCTTATGTTCTTTTGTGTTTGAGACTTGACATCCGGCAACCTGGACAACGCTGCGATGGAATCATCACTGACCCGAAAAGTAGCGACTCGCGGTTTGAGAGTGTGGCGCAGGAACATTAGGTTCTTCCCATGATCTCGTCTGATTACCCTTTCTTTTGACTCTGTTCTCTTCCGTCTCCCACGTGGGTCTCTCTCCTCGACACACATTTTCGCTTAGAATTCTTGTCTTTCATGTCTCGCAAGAGGGGTGTCAAGAAGAAAAGATTTCAATTTTCGATGTTTTCGGCGAACTCTCTCCCATCTTTCTTCGCTTAGCGGTCCGCTTCGCACCTGTGTTTATCTTGCATGCACTAACATCACAAATTTGGTTTGTCAACTTTGCCAACAAAAACATCATGTCCTTCTGCACATCGAGAACTCAAGTGTTATTGCAAAAGAGCCCTCGTTGTTCAGGGTTCTACTGTATTACACATTGCTAAGAACTAGTGTCGAAAGGACCACTACAACAAATGACTACAGGCAGCGTAGGAAGAATCATCACAGGAAGCACTGCAATACCTCGGGTCGTATGTCGAGTCGTCCCGAATTGCATTTTGAGTAACCTTGAGTAGTAGGAGATAAACTTGATAGAAAAGGTTGAAGAAACATCAAACGCAGCTAGCTCAAGTGGCTTGTACATCATTGTTATAATAAAAAATGGTAGCGCCGTTTTCCATCCGAAAATACGAGCATACCATTTGGAGCTACGCCAGCAGCCATCGTTTTCGTGATTTCGTCTTTTCTCTCTTCGAATTGGTCCCCATATATTATTTTTGCAATGTTCTCCTGCAGTTGTCAATCTCTGATGATAAAAATAAGTCCCGGCCTCAATCTCATTACCAGAAATCTGTTATTTTTATTGAGGATTTACAATACTTCGCCCATCGATCGATAAAACCAACCTTCACATCTTGTCCGTTTTTAAGCACGTGCTCTTCAAGGAATGCTGTCATCTTATCCTCTCGTTTTGACTTCCTTGGTGGTTTTGTAAGATCTCTACTGATGAGTATTATCGCGTATACACCAACTGGTATGTAAAAGAGTGCAACATAAAAGTAGTTATAAAGGCCATTCATTACAGCATCCTGAAAGACTAGTGTAAAAAGACTGATGTCGTTGATCACTGTGCAAAGTTAGAAGACAGCTCAAACAAAGTTCTGCGACGAAATGCCAAGAATGCTGACACCAGTATGCTCGCCAAGAGACTATATCATTAGGTAGCCACCGCACACCACACAAATTGGCTATTGTACGCCCGTGCTAACGTCGAAAACCCAGGACAGAACACCCATGGTAATTCTGCTGACCCATTCGCATGGCGCTGGCGACACCTGTTGGTCCTCCGCACGCAGAAAACGCGCATGTCTTTCAAAAGACTCCGGCTGACAATTCTCCGGCACTAGGGAACGTATTTGTGCGTAGTTGTTTGAGGTTCCGGAGGGGTCTTGGTTGGAAGAGGAAGGGATTACACCCCGTCCCATTTGCCGCTCGACCTGGTCAGTGCAGTTTTTGGAATAGTTGTGGAGAAGTTGTGGAGACGAAGTTGGATTGTATTAGGTGGTCTCGGATAGCAGGATTAACAACAGTGTTGACATCAACGATTGATGGGAGAAAGCAAATAGTGTGAGTAATTCGCCCTAGGAGGGTAATCCAGCTTTGAGAAATTTCTATTGCGATGCCTAATCTAAAACCGGAGCTGTGAAATGGCACGATTCTGCACTCATGTGAGAATGATGAGAGTGCAAACTTTCGATGAGCTCGAGAGAATAGACTCAGCTATTTTCTTTGAAAGCTCACATGTGTCAGAGGCAACACTATTCACCAATTTGTTATCACATGTGAATGGCTCTTTTCTTGAAACATCAACGGGATCTATCAACTAACGATTGAAAAAGTCTAGATCAATTTTTTCACACATAAAAAGGTTGATACTTTCTGTTTCGGCCTCCTCATGGAAATGACCCATTCAGTGGCGGGAGGGGGTAAAATCCTACAGGAAGCGATGGCATTCAGCGGTACTGTTTCTTTGAAATATTTTACATTCTTTCAACCCAAAAAATAAGTATCACCAACTCTTACCGTTTTGAGAAAGTGGTGCGGAAGAAAGTGGCGCGGCTTATCTCGCGCACGGTCTAGCGATCAAGTCCTTGTCATAAGACAAGGCAACCAAGCCTTCCATCACTGCGAGGTCGCCTAATGTCGAAGTTACCTGCGAGGATGAAGAATGACGCATTTATCGGCTCGCCGCCGCAACTCATGGTATATGTAGGCCAAATTGGACTCAAACCATTTTTCTGAATGAGTGTGCCAGGCGTGGCGCATAACGAAAAATTGTGTCAGCGCTTAATGTTTTATGATATTTTGTTCCATCGTTGCCAAAGGAAGAACCCACTCACCGATTTTAATATAACATTTATAAGCGCTGATCCCATTATACCACCATCCACTGAACACTCGTAATGCCCAGCATCTTCCTCATTCAGAGGCCAAATGTCTAAAGAAGTGGTTCACAATTGTGATGTGTCTTTTGAATGACAGGAATCCGTCTATTGGTAGGTGCATACTGCTGTTATGGGGGTGCTGTTGTATAAATTTCTGCACGCGCCCTTAGACGTTCCAGTGCAAACTCATTAATTATCACCATAGTATTTCTAGGGACTTCCTCGGAGCCTGTCGCGTAGCGTGAAAATCGGCATCGGCAGATACATAGTGCACGTAGATAGTGCACACCGAAGATTCAGAGCTATCATAACAAATCAATAAGTTCGTATAACTTCGTATAATGGGGGCCAGCCCACGATTTTACGAGGTGTGCTTGAGTAATCATTGATGTGAATGAGACAACCATGATTTCATGTGAGTTGTTTGCCAATGCAGGCTAGCACTGTATTAATCAAACGGCTGAGGAGTAAAAGAAGAAATGAAGGAGACGAGTTCGGACCTCTAAGGTTGCGGTTGCACGATTGACATTGCATTAGCTAAATTAAGCTTCGCTTCTGAATAGCGGTGTGGTCTCTAATTGTTCCGAAACAAAAATGATATTGGTAAAACTGCAAAAGCAAATACCGAGCGTGAAACGAATCTCACTGCCCTATAATCTGCACAAGAAATTTAACCAATCATTTACCCTCTACATCGATAGAGGATGGGCATCATTACTTATTTCAAAAGTTCCTTACTTAATACTCCCTCCGGTGAGATGGTAACTCTCCAATCAAACCTTTGATTTTTTATCTCCTCGCCGTTCAAGTACCATGATATTGTGGAATCAGTCTGAAAGAAACGGAGCTTATGGTTTTGAACCAACGAAATGAAAAATCAGTGAACACACTGGAAGAAGGAGACCTTCTCATTATTGCCTCAGAAACAGGGTGGGTCAAAATTATGGTAAACACGAGTGATAGCAGTCATACCCACTTTTTCCCCAAGCCCCTCGTTTCTTTCTGTTTTCTGTGCAGCACATGGTGGGGGGCAATACCTTCTTTCAGGTGAAACGAAATTTAATGCATGTGTCAAACCTGGTGTGACTACCGCATCGTGGTATGCCAGCTTTTTATTGAATGTCTAACCCATACGGTGCTTCATGAATGCGCCTACATTCAGCGACAATTCATTAACAAAGCTCGTATATATACCTATCTATGTAGAACTATAAATATTTATAATACGTATGAATAACACAGAAAGAAGTGCAAAATACCCTTAGATAGAGGATCCGCAAATTCCGATGAGTTATATCTACTGTCAGGACAAATATGAGTGCAGATACGCCTCACCTTCTTTGGCAATTTCGAATCCCAGAATGAGCAAATTTTCAGAGTATCCTACTTTGGACGACTTACTTAAACGGACCACTAGTCGTAAAGAAGGTACTAAGAACTTCTTAGCAAATTAAGCAAATTGTATGGTCAAAACTAGAAACAAGTGGTATGCAGAACCCCAAAAATTTCTGATTCCCTCTAAATGTAGCTTTTCTGGGGCTGAAAGCATGCATGTAGAGTGGAAGAGGGTCGTATCGGAATCCTCATTATGGAGGGGACTCCGGCACTGACGGCACTGAGGCACTGACGCCGCGATTTTCACCCTGTCACCAATAAGTGGTGATTGATACTACATATTCTTAGGGAATTTCTCTGGAACGAATGCGAACCTCATTTTGCCATGTTTTCCGCTGAAGCTCATCACAAGAGAGAGAAAGGCTGATTCCTGATACCAAATCATGAGGAAGAATGTTTTGCATCGAGGTCGATGTTTACTATCTTCATTCCACCTATAAAATTGTTTTTATGCTGCAATGTTGATAGGAAAAGTAGAGCTCAATAAAAAGAAGCAAAACTGAAACCGTTGTGAGCACACCGAATTCTAGACCAAGGTATGACTGGTTAGTCACTTTCTTGTCAGGGCTGTGCACCCTTTGAGCTCCATTCAGAATAGTAGGAGCATTTCTATACGAATCCAACACACAAGGGTGAGGGGTTGAGAATTACGTTAGTGCTTTACGTCTTTTTAACTGGATGTCAAGAACAGAGCTAGACAACGAATCGAATACTGGATTTTCGGTTCTCAATTTTCAGGAATACGTGATCATAGAAGAGATGAGCGGTCCCCTGATAGCTCTACTGTGGGTAGCGCAGCAGTTCATCTTTCCTGCTAGATACCAGAACGTCAAAAAGTAAAGCTTCGGAGCCTCTATATTGGATAAGATAACATTATTGCTTCCTCTGCCTATAGGAGCATACCGAAGTCGGTAAGATCGGTATACACTGAGAAGGCAGAAAATTTGGAAGATCTCTCTAGTTGATGTGTCAACGCGATTCTGCACCACTCTTCCCTCTTCCGAAATCTCGAAACGATGAGGTTAGACGAGGAAGAAGAGTTGAAAGACGCTTTCGAGTGATGATCCTATATTTATGGTTCTTACCAAGAGAGAACACGCTCATGAGCGTTTGTTTCGTCCTTATGCTGAGAAGTGGCTTCTTCTTCTTCTTTTTCTTCATCCTGCGTCTCAGCCACGGAGGCAGAAGGCTTCGTTTTGTTGTCGATGGAGGTGGCTGGCTGAAAAAAGTTTGAGTTGTTACGGCTCTACAGGCAGTCTTCAAACAATACTGTAGCGATTGGGGGTACAGCTGGCACGCATATTCTTACTCGCTATTTTTGACACAGCCAGATGTATTTATCGTATCGTCAGAATCAACCAAGTAACAACGCAGATTTGGAAGATGTCTATGTCGAAATTTTGGCAACAAGGTCGATCTATGTAATAATATCTAATGGCAGCTACGGTAATATTATGGATACGTCCAGAGTTGCTCAGAAGATTTTCAGACTACGGGAAAAGAGTCAAAATTGATCACGTTGTTGTTGGAAACGGTGGACATCTGCCTTCAGATATACGTATGACTCGTTCCTCGGTTCGTAGCCACTTGCATTCAATATCGTATCTAAATTTGTTCTCGTCCTTGAACCATGCCGAAAATTTGTTGCCTTTTTTGTCCTTCTTTTTTGAGGCCTAAACAAAATAACAGCGGAAGTTGTTGAATTGTTGCACCAAAACAAAACAGATTGAATATGTAGCAGCTCCGGTTGTGACAATCCAAAAATGATGACAGTCATGTGGCAACCATTTCACTGCGATGGCAAGTTATGTATGCGGGCCTGGTTGCAGCGCTTAGCAAACATTCAAAACTCTCGATTCAACATTCCTTTGAAGCACAGCTTTTGGATCTGCTCGTCGCCCCGACGCTTATCTGGTGCAATTCGCCATGTGCACCATCAGAAAGATGAATATCACACTAAAAAGCAACACGTTGAAAGCCCCTCAGCATGTAGGATTATGTCCTTTGTGAACAGCTTAGCAATGAATGTAGAACTAAGATTTGTAACTCCTGAAATGGCACTCAGAGTGCAATGTTTATTGCTCCGCCCACACTATGCCCCCTTTTCATGCCATCAGAGTCTCAGATGATCCCATAGACGTACGAAATTTCTATTTATGTACACGCGTTATACATATTTGCTGAGAAATGGTCTCTCACACGAAAATCTTTTCAACTGAGTTCCCTACGTTGTGGTCCATATGTCGTTCGGCATGCGCCGGTTCTGTTCGGTGACCTATTATCCTACAGTCGATATCCGAAAGTTGGGGTGGGTGTGTCACCGGAAGTGACGTGCACTTGATAGAAGTTGCGTGGATAAGCTGTTGCCAGCATGCTTTGCTGATATCCAGCGATGTATGTTGGAAGCAGCTTATCCACATAGCTTCTATCAAGTGCACGTCACTTCCGGTGACACGCCCACCCCAACTCACCGATATCGAGTATACTTTCAGATTCACTTCTCACGAGCGTAATCCACTAGTACAATTTAGTACCTTTATAAAAAGACGATTCCCAACCAAAAGCCCAAAAGTTAGGGAGCTTAAACTGTTACCATCCTACCTATGCTCAGATTTGTTAGCTTT